GCTCAGGGCCACAGAGGAATCTAACAAATGGGCCACTGCTGGCTGCTGGCCGATGGACCCAGACTGAGGAGAGCAGCTGTATCACAGGCTGACAAGCTCTGAAGCCCTGCAGACCCCTGCTGGCCCCCTCGCTAACCTTGCCTCCCTCAACTTGCCTCCGCACCTCCACTCCGTCTATCTGTTCCTCAAAGAGGCAGGCTCTGGAGATGGATCGAAGACATAACGATGGACCCTACATCCATAAAGACAATCAAGGAGACAACAGGGGCAAGCCGAAGAGCCGACTGCAAGGCATAAACACACTATGGAATGTAGTGAACAATATCCACCCTATGGAAGACAACGTAAAGGACTGGAACCTTCTAAAATATGACAGCTATGCACATCAAGAGACTTCATCCAAAGGGTTAAAAAAGAGCCCATAGATTAGGAAAAAATATTTAATAATCATACATCAGATACAGGGCTAATTCAAAGTTCTATTCTTGTTAGGTGTCACCACGTTGGTTGCAACCCATAGTGACCTTATACACAACAGGACACAACACTGCCCGGTTCTGTGCCACCCTCACAATTGTTCCTAAGCCGGAGCCCATTGGTACAGAAATGGTGTCAACAGCATCTTCCTCTTTTCCACTGCCCCTCCACTGTACCAAGCACGGTGTCCTTCTCCAGGGTCTGGTCTCCCCCGACAACATGTCGGAAGGACGTAAGATGATGTCTCTCCACCCTTGCCTCTAGGGAGTACTAAGAAGAATGCAAATAATACAAGCAAAAACGAGGAACTCGTCATGAATAGATAATTTAGCAAAGGTGATATCCATGTGGCCAGTAACCGTATGAACAAATGTGCGTGTTCATTAACAGTAAGAGAAATACCATCTCCCATCGATACTCGGCAAAATGTACAAATTTTAAAAAAAGGAAGAGAATAAATGCTGAAGAGGATGAGGAGGAATTGGAACATTTTTCCCTTGCTGGCGGAACTGTAGAATTGCACAACTACTGTGGAAATCAGTATGGCACTTCCTTAAACAAATGCAAATTCAGTCACCTCATGATTCTGCAATCCTTCTGCTGGGTACATACCCTAAAGACATGAACTCAACACGTGCAAACATAGGCACAACTATGTTTATTACAGAAATTTCCATAATAGCAAAAAAGGTGGACACAATAAAAAAATTCCAATTATAGAGTAATGGATAAATGAACTCTGGTACATTCATACAATGGAATATTATGTATCAATAAAAATAAATTGTGACTCTGCTAAACACCTTAAGACATGGACAAAACTAGAGAATATTCTGCTTAGCATAATATGATGGAGTGTCTGGTGGTTTTGAACTACTGATCTTGTGGTTATCAGCCCAAGTTGTAAACCCTATACCTCTTGGGCTCCTCCTCAAGACTTAAGAGTCTCAACAGAAAAATGGATGAAGGGAGACATCGGTAGGTGTAAGACATGAAAAAAAAATTTATAAATTATCAAGGGTCCATGAGGGAGGGAGAGGGAGGGAAGGAGGGGGAAAATTAGAAGCTGATACCAAGGGCTCAAGTAGAAAAAAAATGTTTTGAAAATGATGATGGCAACAAATGTACAAATGTGCCTGACACAATGGATGGATCTATGGATTGTGATGAGTTGTATGAGCCCCCAATAAAATGATTTACAAAAAAGACTTAAGAGTCTCAGGACCTTATATAGAGTAACTATGAGTCAGAATGTGCAAGAACAGTGGATTTTTTGGTGTATGATAATGAAGGCATAACAGAGAAAGGTGGGTCTGAACTCTAATCACTTCTGAGTTACAAAAGGTCTTGCAGCGACCCAGAGGTCCAAAGAGATGGGGCCTGCAGGGGTGGAGGTGGGTGGGTGATGGTCCTGTGAGGATCCTCTATATGTCAAGAAACCTGAAGCAACAAACGAGCACCGTGGACTCTGGACAGGGAAGGAGTGGACAGGTCTGCGTCCCTGCTTTGAATGTTAGCAAATCAGGAGTGGGTTTTGTGTTACAGCAGCACTAGGGGACTAAGACGCTCTCTAAGACCGCAGCTCCCTGCTCCACGCACTTCTCGCTGTGCAGCTCGCTCTAAAATGATCTTGCCCGCTACTTGCATGGGAGCTCCTGGACTCTCTCCGTGATCCTCCTCCTCCCCATGCTTCCTGGCGGGAAGGGCGGGAGCCATCTTGTTCACCTCCTGTGCCTAGGAAAGGGCCTGGAGAATGAATGACCCCAGGCTGTGTGTGTGTGTGTGTGTGTGTGTGTGAATAAATGAGGGGATGGAAAAACTAAACTAACCTTGCAACAAGGATTCAGGAGCCCCATGTGAAACCCCACCCCCACCCCCGCCCCGCCAAACACACACACATACTGTCTTCCTGGTTAATAAAGGCAGGGGCCACAGACATAACACCGTGGTTGGGAGCAACCTCCAACCGGCAGTCACAGCCGCATGCAGCCCTGGGCATGGCTCCAAAGCTAAAAGGCACTAATTGCTTTTCTATGAGGAGCTAGAAACACGGCCCCTTGGTGTCCTTCCGTCCTGATAGCCGCATTATCGTATCTGTTACTGTGCTCATTGTTCCTGTCTCACACGGCCACTTTGGGCTTTCAGCCGGATCTGGCTGGGATGGTGACGGGAGAGAGAGGTACTGTGGAAGGGTGTGTGTGTTCACATGTGCATGTGTGTCACTGTGTGTATACCACGTGTGTGTCCCTGTGTCTGCATGTGCGTATGGTGCATACCCATGTATGAGCATGTATGTTCATGTACCCACGTGTGTCATGTCTACATACATGTGTCCGCATATGTGTACACACGTGTCCTCGTGGGTGTCCATGCAGGTGTGCATCTCTTGTATGTTTACATGCATGTATCCATGTCCATGCGTGTATGTATGTACATGTGTCCCTGAGTGTCCGTGTGTGTGCCTGTGTGAGTCCATGTGTTTATATGCACAGATGCTTGTGCGTGTGTCTGTGTATGTATAAACCCATGTCTGAGTTTCTGCATATACGTCTCAATGTGTACAGCACATACATGCATATATTCACTTATGCTCACATGCGTTTCCTGTGAGTACCCTTCCAGGTGCATGCATGCTGGGGAAAGAACAGCCGCCCCCTGCCCTGTGTTCTCTGTGTTTTTTACATGCATGTACCCATGTGTGTTTGTGGAAACATGTACGCGTGTATGCAGAGGTATGCATTCCTGTGCACACCTGTCCTTGTGTGTCCATGCATGGGGGGGGGGTGTCCATGTGTGTCCCTGAGAGTACTTGTCCATGTGTGAGCCCACGTGTAAATCTGCACACATGACTTCATGTGTATGCGTCTGTATGCCTGGGTGTGCGTGAAAGCAGCTATCAACCGGAAAGGGTTAACTTGCAGTCTGGCCGTCTGTGCTCAGGGCCCCGGGTCTGGCCCAGGGATGGGAGGGATTGGCCTGGAAGGTGGTGTGGGCTGGCTTACCATTAGCTGCCTCTCCCACGGCAGGAGTGCAAACGCCTGCCCAGCTGGCCCTAGTGCGAGCGCTGCCTGTGCCCACGGGACTGGCTGCGGAAGCCCACACCTGGCAATGCCCCCCGGCCGCCCCTCCGCAGCAGGTCTCCCGGGGCAGCGCCTGAGCCCAGAGTGAGCCCAGAGCTTGGGGGAGGCAGCGGGCAAGGATGGAGGCGATTGCCAGCCTTCTGGCAAACGGAAGCGGCATCACCCCTCTCTGCGAATCGCGGCTGGCGAACGAGACCTTTTTCTGCTTGGAGCGGCCCCCTCCTCCCAAAGGTAGGTGCCCGCGAAGGCTCTGCTCCTTCCGCAAACTCTGAAGCATCGGGCAAGCGGCAAAGACCAGGCTGCCCCGAAAGGAGAACGCCGTCCCCTGCCGAAAGTTCTCCCTACAGAAGTTTGGGCCAGAGATCCAAGAGCCCCTGGGGTGGGATGGAGTCTGTTCTCCGAGGAAGGGGGACCGATTCTATCGGGCTGATGGTGGGAAACAAGGGCCGATGGGTGAGGGGCTGAAGAGCGGCCAGAAGGAAACGCCAGTCTCGAAGCTGGAAGTTACGAGCAAGACCGCAAAGGTGCTGTCACAAGCCAGCGGGCACCTTTCCTGGGGGAAAGCCGGGCAGGATAAGCGATACCAGCGAAACCATTCCGAGCGCCTAGGGGAGACGGCGATTCCCATTCACCGATCAGCTTTGTTCTTAGGAAGCGAGTCCCCAGGTCAGATCTGAGCAAGCCCACCTTTCAGAAGGCACCATCGCTCTGTGCTTCTGTGGGGTGTGTCTGCAAAATGCTGTGCACACAGGCAGACACAGATACACGTCTGCAAAGAACCACCACCCAGAAAGCAAGTGTGTGTGTGTGTGTGTGTGTGTGTGTGTGTGTAGGGGGTCGCCAGGACAGCAGCACCCATGGCTCTGCTCTCATGAGCCCGTGCCCCCATCACGTCCCCCTTCCTCCCCGCAGAGTGGCAGCCAGCGGTGCAGATCCTCTTGTATTCCCTGATATTCCTGCTCAGCGTCCTGGGGAACACACTGGTCATCATGGTGCTGATTCGGAACAAGAGGATGAGGACGGTCACCAACATCTTCCTGCTCTCGCTGGCGGTCAGCGACCTTATGCTCTGTTTCTTCTGCATGCCCTTCAACCTCATCCCCAACCTGCTCAAGGACTTCATCTTCGGCAGCACTGTTTGCAAGACCACCACCTACTTCATGGGTAAGTGGCCACCGGTGACGATGTCCAAAGCATGCCCCAGACCCCACTGGGCCCCACACTTCCCCCGATGGCCACCACCAGGCACCATCCCTAGTGTGAAAATCCAGAACACTTGGTTGTGTGGGACCGTTTGCAAGGACGTAGGTGCTGGCTGTCTGGCAGGCCAGTCATCACGCATCCCCGAGGGCTGGTCTGAAGTCAGTCTTTGAATGTCACAGCACGGATAAACCTTGAGAAGTTCTAGCTGCAAGACATACATCTGTCGCAAAAGGCCAAACGCTGTACGATCCCACTGATATGCAATAACCAAATAGATTCCGATTCGCGGTGGCTACTGGGGGAGGGAGATGGAGCCTTCGCTTCGAGGGTATTGTTGTGGTTGGGGGCTGCCCACTTGGTTTGGACTCCGAGAGCCCCATCTGCCCATGAGACTGGGAGCCATGAGCTTAGGGCAGTGGTGTGAAATAACTGAAAGAAGGTGGCAAGAGAAGGTTACACGACATGAAGAAAGTATACAGAAACTGCTGAAAGGGAGAGTGTGCCGCTGCACGTCTTGGCCACCAAATTGAAAAGAAAAACAAATTGACCCCCTTCTAAGAGTGAAGTCGGTTGATATGAAAATGCAGGTGTGGCTCGTTTTGCTTGCCTTCTGTTCCGAGGGGAGAGGGGCTCAAAAGTGCCTTCGTGGGGCTCTGGCCCTGTCTGGGATCCACAAACTGTCTCCCCATCTGTAGGGCGGTGGCGATGGTGGAGGGGGAGCTGCTGTCTGGTATTCTCATCTTCTAGGAACGGTGTAGCCCCGGCTCTAGGTTCCCTTCTCAGGACTTACTTTCTAGGCTGTTCTTCCACGGCCTTTGGCCATCTTGGGCTTGTGCTTCGGCGGGGTGGGGTCGGGTGGGTGTGGGGAGCACAAAGCTGACCCCGAAGGCAAGAGGATGTGTCTCATCAAAACGGTGACAATCACACAACAATCCCAGAGCTCACCGTTTCAGTACTTGGTGTACAGCAGATAATACGCTAAGTGTTCTCAGCACAGGATCCCATGAACTCATGTTATTCTCGGCCATATGCCTGGTCCCAAACTGTGCCTCATCTCAGCTGGACCAGGACCCTCAGTGGTTCAGTCGTTGTGGGATGATGTTGTTTTACAGCTGTGCGAAGATGCTCTCCTCTTCCCTAAGGGCGGTCTGATGTGATCAGCCGACCGGGTGTAAGGGATTCTGGTAGGAAGTGGCACCCTTGCTCAGGTCAGAGGCCAGTGCTAATGTAAGTGGGGTGTCCCTGGCTGTGGTCCATCTCACCCTTTATCAGACAAGAGCTAAAAGATGAGAAAAGTGACTGATCTCAGTACCACGAAGGGAGAAGGATCTTAGCACTAGGAAAGAAGAGCCAATAAAAAAACCATGGAGCCCTGGGCAGAGAGCCTCCTAAACCAAGGGGGAGATGGACAGCAAGACACGTAGATTTCCAAGGAATGGCAGGCCCACACATGTTGAAAGGAGGCAAAGCCTTCCCGCAGAACTGGTGCCTTGGGTTTGGACTTCCAGCCTCCTACCCTGGGAGAGAATCCATTTCTGTTTGTCAGAGCCCCTCCCTTTTCATATTTCTATTCCTGCAGCACTAGATAATTCAGACACCACCCTACAAAATAAGTAGAGTTGATTTGGTTTTTATCGCCCCCCCCGCCCCCCCCCCCACACACACACCTCACAGAGCAGAGTAATGTGCCCAGGCACAGTGGAGGTTAGGAAGAGAGCTGGGATTTGAACCCAGATCTATTAGCCCCCACTGTGGGTGCACATTGCCTCAGTTTACCCACTGCTGCGGTTCCCCTGAGGCTGAAAAGAAATGTGTTTTCTGGGTCCCCTCTGTCTACCAGATTGTCCTGTGTCCTGTTCCCTCTGAGGACAAGGGGAAGTAGGGAAATGAGGAGGGAATTGTTTGGGTCCTGACCCAACTCTTGCAACTATGCAGAGCTGAGCTGGGGGAGGGCAAGCGTCTGCGACTGGAAGGCTCCCAAGGCTCTTCTGTCACCCAGTTCTGGAGGCAGGAGCCAGTGCTGACAAAATGATGATGAATGACTGACCCGAGGGCCTCCGACCGAGAGCAGAATGTGTCACCGTGTGTCTGCGTCCTCTGCAAATAGAACAGGGCTCACAGATCAGAGACCAGGGTTGAACCATAAGGCAAATCACTGGCATCCATCGCCCGCCAAGCTTCCAAGGCCCTTCTATTCCATTTTCCTGGTAACAGTGTGGGAAGACCCGTAACCAGACCACGTGACCAGAGATTTCAACGGCGCCGATGGGACATGAACTAAATGCCATGGGATTTTTTTTCATCTTAAAAAAAGTAGTTTTAAGTGACTCCCACCTCAATTCAGGGGGGAAAAAAATTTTTTTTTAATTTTTAAATAACCAGTAAGGAAATCCAGTGCATTCTGAAAGGGTTTGCAATGAAATGTTGATTTTGTTGGATTGCAAATTCCAATGATTTCAATTCTCCCCTCAATTGTGTGGTCTCCTCAGTATTCTTGCATGGGCGTGGGGAGGGGGCTCAGGGTGGCTATTGCTACAGTGGGTGCATCATTCAGAATTTCCTCTTTAAGGAGTTTGGAGCTGTGCTCGCTCATCTAAAAGCCATTGACTCCTTAGGCTAAAGGCAGTCAAATGCAGCAGCTCCTGTCCCAGAGCCTGTCATTGTATTGGACGGCTTTGGAGTCACCCTGGATGCCTTTAAAGTTCTTTAAAAGCAATGAAGACTCTCCCTAGGGGGGAAAAATTGCATTTTTGCTCAGAGTTTCCGCAGAATCATTTATATCCATAAACATGGTGACCGTCTAAGACCCTCCGCTCCCCAGTGCAGCCTTCATGGCCGTCCGGGGCATCAAGGCAGCTCAGACTCACAGCAACCTGAGGTCTAGCACACGTCAGGCTGCCGGGTCCGGGACCAATCCCACAGGCAGGGCCATGTTTGTGCCCGTCTTTGAGATTCACCCTAAGGGCAGAGCAACTGTCGTACAAGACCATCAGAATAAGGAACAGAATTTAGAGCGAATGAATCCAAAGGAATTTTAAGATGATAAAAGTGTGTCATCATTAGACACACAAGACCAAAGAGAGCGAGAGAAATCGAAACTTTTTTCACTCACTCCAAAAACATCCACATTGTCCTCGGGTCAATTCAGACTCATAGTGACCCTATAGGACAGAGTCCAACTGTCCCTGTGGGTTTTTCCAAAACTGTGACTCTTTCTGAGAGTAGAAAGCCTCATCTATCCGCCACCCCACCCACCCCCCCGCCCCCTCTCCCCACGCCCCCATCCACACACTGTAGCAGGACTGGTGGTTTCAAACTGCAGTGCATGCCTTTCTTTTACTCATTGTCTTTCCCACGGACCACAGTCCTTGCTCATGCTGCCAAACAGAACTAGCAGCCGGCCGAGAGAATAAGAAGGAAGAGCCTCACATGCCCCCACCGAGAGAGAGAAACCTTTGGGAACAATAGGCGTGATTCTCTTGCATCTTGTCCTATCGTGTGTATTTCAAACACACCACCAAACGACATTTGGGCATCGGGAATCGGTCACGTTGAACCGTTGTCTGGACTGGAAATGTTCAGAAAGACTCCGGCTCAGCTGCTGGTGACCTTTCGAGATCACAGACTCCTTTAGAATCTTGGGTCTATCAGATCAGCTTCACTTGGCCGACCCTGTTCCAAGTGAAGGGTTTCTCCCATAAACCTAAGGTGACCAGACGTCCCATTTTTGGCGGGGCAGTCCTGATTTTTAACTATTTTCCCCGTGTCCTGCAGCGTTTTTTAAAAGTCCCGATTTTTGGAAAGAATGCATGACAAACTAGGGTATACGGTTTTCGGCTGCCATGTGCCTATTTCGCCAGGATATGAGTTTTATCAATGGTGCCCTGCTTTTGTCCCACTTTACCAACGTTAAAATCTGGTCACCTTACCTCCTCTGTGGGATGGAAACCTCTGTGCTGCCCTTGGTAACTGGTGAATTAAAGAGCACCTCCTGCCTACGTGGAAGTTAGCTTGTTGCTGACAATGGGTGGTGAGGTCTGTTTGCCCATGGATTTGTTTGAGCTGATGGGAGTTGAGGTAGTTAGTTTATTGTGTCAACCTGGCTGATAAACACATGTGGGGTTCATTGAAGGGTGGAGGGATAAATGGCTCAGTGAGCCTCGCCTTTCTAGTTCTGGGGTCTCTTGCTTTGTGATGGTCGGACCAGGGTGCAGCTGCCTTAGCCGCTTTAGCTGGCAAGGCTCACTTCCTGCAAGACATCCCTGAGAAGCCACATAGATCTACCCCGATGCAGCCCTGGGTGCTGGAGCAGCCGTGTGGAGACCCCTGCCAGTGCTGAGATGCTTACATGTTCACTGACTTGGCTTTCCTCCTGCAGTCGGCATCATTGCGTCTGTTTTGTGAGATGGAGGAGGACTTTGTGGATTGATGTTGGACACATGGGTTATTGGGTTAATGTTGGACTTGTGGGCTTGGGCAGCACTGGGTTGGGATGTTTTCTTGATGTGCACTTAACCTTTATATGAAACTCTCTCTTATACATGAGTTTCTGTGGATTTGTTTCTATAATGTACCCAGATTAACACAGTTAGTTTGGAACACAGCTGGGAAGAAGGCCTTAAAAAATAATAATAACAATAATAATATCCATCAGATTTCATGACCCTCAGCATTTTCCTTTGATGCCACACCTGCACCTGGTGTGCAAATAAAGGCAAGATTGCAAAAGTCAACAGCGCCGACTTCTTTGTTCCCTTCCCAGGCACTTCTGTGAGCGTCTCAACCTTTAATCTGGTGGCCATATCGCTGGAGAGATATGGCGCGATTTGCAAACCCCTGCAGTCCCGGGTCTGGCAGACCAAGTCCCACGCGCTGAAGGTGATTGCGGCGACCTGGTGTTTCTCCTTCACCATCATGACGCCGTACCCCATTTACAGCAACCTGGTGCCTTTTACCAAGAACAACAACCAGACGGCAAACATGTGCCGCTTCCTGCTGCCAAATGATGTCATGCAGCAGACCTGGTAAGGCGGCATCTATGTATATATGTGTGCCTCAATGCCTGTATATATGAATTCATATCTATGAACATAGATAACAGATACTTTGATATCATTTTGCATTACTTTGACAGGCTAGGCTGGATTGCCCAGGGGGTCTTTGGGGTCAGCTTCTTGGAGGGTTCTCCGTGGCTGATCACTCAGAAGCCGAGGGCCAGGCCTTTCTTCCAAAGGACCTCTGGGTGGGCTCTATCTTTCGGAGTGCAACGGAGTGTGTTAAGCTTGGCACCACCCACGTGTTGCTCTTATCATCCTTGTCTGTTGTGAGGAAACCGTGGTGTGGAGAGGGGTGACTCCTTACCAGGCTTGCACACTTCCTCAGCGGCAGAGCTGGGTGCTAACCCAAGGGGCATCTGCTTCTCGGGGGCTGAAGGAGGTTGGGGGCTGGATGGTTCAGAGAGCCATCATTTTCAGTAGAATTGACAATGGAGTAGAGCAGCATCCAAATTCTCTGGGATTTTCTGGTACTTGAATCCAATACAGGGACCGTCTGATACCCATTTCTTGGCAGACTAGCGGGGTGGCCTTGGTCAAGTCCACATAATCTCTAGCAGCAGTGGGTTCTTTACCTACAAAGGAAATTCTAGATTGATAGATGATAGACAGAGACATCAAAACATGGTGGTATATTGGGCTATGCTGCTAATCACAAAATCAGCAGTTCAAATCCACATTGCACACTCAGGAGAAAGATGAGGCTTTCTGTTCCCATAAAGATTTACAGTATTGAAAATCTACAGAGGCTGTTCTACTCTGTCTTATAGGATCGCTATGCGTCATAATTAACTTGATGGTATACACACACGTACATATATAGATACATACATACACGCACACACACACCTCATGGGATAGCTGTAAGTTTCAAATTAGAGCCTATGTATGAAAATGTCATGAAATCTCTGAAAAATAACATTTTAAAGGCCACACAAACACAGGGCAACATGTTTATTAATTCCAAAGACGAGGCGCCCTGGTGGTATAGTGGTTACACTACACACTGGGCAGCGATCTGCATGGTCGGCAGTTCGAAACCACTAGGAGCACTGTGGGAGAAAGCCTGGACTTTCTATTTCCATAAACAGTAACAAGCTCAGTAACCCACGCA